AAAAAAGAAAAGGCTTTAGGCAGAGTAGTGGGTTCCTGGAAACAAAGAAGAGGCCAGTGTGTCTGAATACATGGAGCAAAGGACAAAATGGCAGGAGGTGAGGTAGAAGTGGGCAGGAACCAGATCAGGTGGGCCCTGAGGCCTAGGCACAGTCTGGATTATATTCAGGGAGCTCCCAGAGAAGCTGAGACTATGTTTGTTTGTTTGTTTTGAGACAGGGTCTCACTGTGCAGTTCAGGCTGGCCTTGAGCTCACTTTGTAGCCTAGGCTGGTCTCAAAATCCCAACAATCCTCCTGCCTCAGCCTCCAGAGTGCTGGGATTACAGGCATGCGCCACCACGCCTGGCTGAAGCTGAGCCTATGAAGAAAGGAACTATAACATGCTCTACCCCAAACTCACCTGAAGACACTCCTCCCTTACTGCACCTGTCTGAGTCCTCAAAGATGTAGGAAGTCACAGTGGCTCCCAAGTTACAAGACCCCTCTGCAGGTGCTTCTACATTCATTGCACACCTAGAACAGGTCTTTCTTTCCTCCTTTCTTCCTTCCTCTCTCTCACTCTTTCTTTTTCAGGGTCTTGCTGTGTAGCCCAGGCTGGCCTCGAGTTCATGGCAACCCTCCTGCCTCAGCCTTCCAAGTGCTGGGATTACAGGTATACACAACCATGTACAGCAAATGGACCTTTGTGAGACCACTCGGTTGACCGCTCACTCTCTGGAGAACACAGTTTGTGGAGCTGAATATTATACATCACTGAAGTCTAAACACCCATCCTGAGTGGGTACTTTTACCTCCATTTTAACATGAGGAAGCCAGCAAGGGGCTTATGTTATGAAGCTGCTGATCTAGCCTCCACTATAAATGAGAGCAGCATTTCTACGCAGAACCTAAATCCAGAAACCATACTCTGTCCACTGTGCCAGCTGCAAACCTGACCTCCCCACTAAAGGAGAGTCGGGGGCCTCCACCACCCCTGCGAACTGGAGGTTTCTTGCTGCCCCAAGCCTCCCCCTCTTAGGCCAGTCCCGTCCAGTCCTCTTATCAGTCACCAAGGGAAAGAGCAGCAGACCCACACTTGCAGGGTGATTAACCCTTGCCAGGCACAGTGCCAGGGACTGGTGGAAGGCAAAGCACTGCCTCTGCCCTCACAGATCATGGGGCAGCCCTGAAGGCAGATACATGAAGGTACTTTCCTAGTAACTGATGGCTGACCTGTGAGCCCTGGGGAACCAGATTACTTCCCAGCTCTGGCTGGCTATAAAACCAGAGCCCTTCACCACAGGACAGCTGTCCTCATCTTCCCCCTAGCAAGGAAACAAAAGGCTCCCACTAAGTTGGGGAACATCAGCCTGTCCAGCAGATCACATCGGAGTCAAGGCCACAGCTACGAATTCCCCAGCCAGAACCAAGGCTCTCATATTTGATAACATCTGGTTGCCCTAGCAACACCCCTCCCTCGCCCCACCTACAACCTGGCCAGGGTTGCCATTCTGGGCCACCCTAGCACAGGTCTATACAC